CCAATCTGAAAAGAAGATTTTAAAATTGACAGCAAGTTTTTTCAACAGACGTTTATATTGAAAAAAGAACGCTTACGTCGCGACTATTATTATATTTATATTTTTATTATTTATATTTTCCACATTCAGGTCATCTCGTATTTTTCCCTTTGCTTTGGAATCTATCCGCGTACAACGACGGTATAAATTACCTTTTTTTCCACCATATCGGGAAGTATGCATTCTAATTCTATCAGTGACTCGCAACTTGTAACTTTATATATACCTAATGGAAGAAAACAGTTGCAAATATTGTACTTTTAAAATCTTGACCATTGTGGACCATTCATCCACCTTTTGAAATAACTTGCCCAAAGTAGTGTAGCACTCGTCTACAAAAATATTCGTTTTTAAAGTTGGCCGACATAATTTTTAAATCAATGAAACTTCATTTAGTTTTAATAATCTAACGACATTCATTTTCCCATTCGTTACTTGGATTAATAGTATCGTTATTTATGATTAGGTTAAAAAAAACACAGCAAAATTGGTTCGTCTTCACCTAATGGTGTGGTTTAGGGTATCGATTTTCAACATTTTGAATAATGTGCCTATTATCGTTTAACTAAGTCACATGGAATTTTTTATTATTATTTTTGCCAGAACTGCAGCTTCTCACGCAGTACCCGCCTGACGTTGACTTTTGGGGCACCCTGTATAACAATGTAATGAATATACATGTTTTAATGTAATTATTATGACGATATCTCTATTAACGTAAATCTATTAGACGAGTATATACCTGTTAATATTAACTTAACATGACTTCAAGTCTAATATATGCAAATAGCTACCTAACATGCTTGTGCACTGAGTTGGTAATTTATTTATTATATTAATTCTTGACAAGACTATTCTTAGACGAGTACAAGTATGTATTCTTCAATCATACTTATTTTCAATCATATTTTATTGTTCATGTTAGGCTAGGCATATTTAGTACACAATCTCCTTTATGGCAAATAGTCGTTATCAATTTCACTACGTAAATATTTGTCACATTTTGGGAATGTTTAAGAATTATTGTCAAGATAATTACATAGTTTGAGAAAATGTAATCGAAAATTACATACACCCTTGTAGCAAGTAGAATGCAAACTAAATAAGTACAAGTTTTACGTATCTAAGTAATACAATACGGGAATAAATCTAGCCTTTAAAACAAGCATCAAAAGACGATGTTTAAATATTTAATGTGTTGATATGAGTTGATAGAGCTCTCCTAAAGATTTCTCTTGCTATTTCCGATTCCACGTAAACTCTCCTTCAAGAAGGAATAATTTATTACTTCAGTGTTTCCACTTTTATCTCCGGCCATCAGAGATGGGCAAGCACCCGGTTTTTAACCTGGTGCTTTGTTAACGCCTGGTATTAATGGGGTTAAAACCTATTAACACCCGAATTCTAGGGCAAAAACTATTTACAACTAAATATTTGTAAATAGAGTTACGTTCAAATTTATTGATATTATTATAAAATGTTTATTGCTAGCTTACATATTTAGCCTTTCTATTGAATTGATTCGCTTGAAAATAGCTTTGAATTGAATTGAATCTATACAAAAACTTGTTATCGTATACACTTGAATCGATTTTATTATTTATTGTTTACGAGTATATTAAGTTTTTTATGTGATAGAAATACAAATAATAATCAAACGTAAACAATTCAAAAACATAACTAATAAACATATTGAATCAGTGATGATTCCTGCTTAATCCTTTGTGAATAGGGTCTCTGTTTGTAGTTATTTATATCAACATAATTATGGGCTTTCAAATAATATGTAAAGATATATATTATTACTGAGGAGCGCTTATCACAACCTGAGAGGAGCCCCGCCCCAAACTTTTCGTCTCGACGGAACAACGCTAGTATAGCTTCCGTCCTGAGGCCATATGAACCTCTTTTCGTGCTCTTCCGTTTATTAAACTTAATAAAAAAAACGAACATGAAAAGTTTTCAGCACGAACACGACTATCGATGCCCGTAAGTTGTTGTGATAAAGATGTATATGATTAAAGCTTTTTTGCTGTTGTTGTTTTCAATTATTTCTTTACCGTTGTTTGTTTTTGTAACTTTTACCCATAACATTCAGGTTTAGTTTTGAAATGTTATTAAATTAAAAACTTTTTTATAGACAGGACTAACATTGGACTGGGTCATAGACTAATTTTGTTTTGTAGAACAATTATATTTATAATATAACCTATGTTAGTGTGCATGTTTTGCATTACACATATATTTACAATTTGTCCTTAATTTTCTAGATCTTATATAATGTTATTACATTTTCATTGATTTATGTCTAAATATATTTAGTTGTTCATTAATTAATCGAATGTGTTTTTAATTTTTTTCTTATTTGGTTGTTTTTATATCCAAAAAGTGTAAACACAAATACGCCATTATTCGTTGTAAAATATTTATTTTTTCTGCTGCGTAATATTTAGTGGATTTTTGGCGTTGACTATTGGAGATTCAGAGAAATTATAGCTTAGATTTTTTAGTAATAATTAAAGTAGCTTTTTTTATAATACCAAGTGATGGGACGAACAAGCGTGACTGGTGGTAAGCTACAGCTTGTCCATAACAGTTGCAGTGCCAATCAGTGCTTTAAATGCACTTCTACATTTAAATGCAGTACTTTAAGGGCACTCCCACTGCGCCCGTCACGTTGAGACATAAGTCGACAAGTCCTCATGTGCCTGTAATTACGCGGAGTGCTATGAGAAAACGATGAGGGCAGGTTTTTATTTCATTCTCTATTTTGCTTTACTAATACAGAGTTTTTCATGAATTTGCTAACCACTCTCTAGCCGGCTGTCGCGCTTCCACCCCTTGAAATAGCGTAACCAGACTTGAAGGGCTGGTTTTTTGCAACTCGTATTCGTAGCGCCCATTTTGCGTATAACGGCGCACCCCTTGTTTCGACATAGATACCAGCTAGAGTGCACAATTTACCGGCGAGGCTACGCGTCACCAAAACGAGCATTTTTTTTCTCCCTACATGTCGCACATGAAACCACATACTATCGTAACTCAACACTATGGAAGTGATAAAACACAATTTGAAATGTAATAAAACATTGGTTGGATCTTATTTCGATTATTCGCCACTGATAATGATGTGTCAGTCGCTAAGTACTGTTCCTAACAAATATAAACATCTGAATCAGCACGCTAAGAAGAAGAACATATGATTATTGTCATTTATATATAATACTTAATTATCCATTTATCAACGAGATTATATATATATATTGGTTTCACTCAGTGTTTCTTTTTCTTTTCAAGTTGTGTTTTCTCAATTTCATAATTTAGAGTTACGACAGTATTTGGTTTCTATCATATAACTATCTACATAACTACAACAATAAATATATTGACGTAAAACTGATTTAATAAACATTCAATTATGTTAAGTAGCAATTCATCAAATACAGAAATTGATTTGATGATTGAAGAAATTATAGCAGGTAAAATACTCGGTTCTCTGAAAATAATAAAGTAAGAACATGTGATTGAAGCCTTTCACCGTATGCTATACCTATTGACATAATGTAATAATGTATCTAGAACTTAGAGGATGGAAAAATAAAGGAAATCTAGACCTTATACGAGTATATGTCAGAAATATAAGTCAAACATCAAATCAGTCACACAAATAACGTAATTTTAATGATATCGGCATCCGAAGTCTGCCGTTCATGGTATGAATATTATTGCTATGAAAAAAATACAGTGAATAGCAAACTAATGATTCCGAGACAGTGACCCGCGCCTCAGGGGTGTTCAATTCACTTTAGTCCCCTCTAACTTTAACAAAGTTCTCAATAACTGGAACTTTTACTGCTTGTGAAAATTTTAAGTGCAAACAAACTCTGATCTTTAATTTACAAGCATCTGAACGTAACGTAGCTGACTGAAAATTAATTAAAATTAGTTTCAGTCAGTCTTGATAACTAATAGAAAACCCAATGTAACTATCCAATTACAATTTTTTGGATTTCAATGGAAAGCTACCATAAACTATTAAACTATAAATTTTATAGAGACATTAAATGTGACAGTTCTGTGACAATCCTAGTGAATTAATTCTAAAGCTTTACAGTGAGTATTAGTTTTAAGGATACTTATGTACACAGTTAAACCCCTTCGAACTTCTTTGTAACATCCTACCGCCGCTATATACATATTATATGCATAGACATGCGGACATGGGTTTCTAGTAACTACGTTGTCTAAAGGATTAATAGTTTGAGGTTTCTTATCGCAGCAGATTGAAGCTGAGAGACATAAAACGATCTTTGACTTCGACTAAACAAAGATGGCAAGCTTAGCAAGTTTTTCGTATTTACAAAAAACGGATTTTGCGTAAGTTTAAGCAAGAAATTAAGTAATGGTAGAGACTTCATAATTTCTTGCTTCAACTTGACAAAGTTGCTTACCTCGCCATTTTTGCTTAAAAGTAGTTAGCGTTCGTTTCATAGAGCTCGTCCTAAGACTCATACTACTAGAGAGCGGCAGAGTAGTCATGTTTAATACACTCAAGTATAAGTGGTAATCTTTGAAATGCAATGTAATTTATACCCGTGACGTCACTGCGTTGTGGAATTATAAAGAGCCTATTTTTAATCGACTTCAAAAAATGGAGGAGGTTCTCTAATCAAATGGTTTTTTTGTAAGTATGTTACGCGTAAACTCGTAAACTCCTTTGTGAACCGATTTTAAAGATTATATTTTATTGGATCTTTCCTAGGTACCTCGGAATTGGTCCCATTTAAATTTGAAGAAAATATTCCACCTCTAATGGTGGCAAACTAGGGGATGAATGACTTTTGAGGTCGGTTTTTTCATATTGACAACATCAATAGTAAAGTCCATACGGGCATCACAAGATAACATTTATGATTTTGTTATTGTCGGTGATGTTGAAATACTTTTGCTTTTCTTACTAGGGCTCATCTACGCGACATTCGGGACCGCTCCGTTCTTCGTCTCTTCGAAGCTACCGATATGGGCGGCGGCGTGTTTCCAGGAGCTGTGGGTGTTGGCTCTCTTGTCATGCCATCAGGAGCTGCCTCTTGCAGTGGGCCGAATAGTTGGGACGCGGTAAGTAATATAATAATAATAATAATAACGCACGCACTCATAGCCCCACGACATACGCATAGACAACCACAAATTTCACCCAAACTCACGAGAAAAGTAAATGCAGGCAATACAAATATTTCTCCCGGGAATCGGACCCGGGATCTGTGCTTGTTAACCGTTCGGCCACAGAGGCAGTTGTAATATGTAATATCAGTAGTACGCACCTTGTGCAGTGTTACCTACATAGTCGTTAATAATAATAATTATTCTTATTCCTGTTGTAAGAAAATCACCGTCTTTCTGCAGATAAAACTCTCATTGAGTTCATAACTTTTTTGTTATTGAGTTTCACTTGCAGAAAGACTGATTTTCTTACCATAACTATATAAAGTGGAAAATTTCACTTATGTAGTTTTACCTTTAAACAGACGAAATAAAATATACAATTAAAAATTACTTAATTCAAATTACATAGCAGTAATGAGATTACTGACTTCCTAAATAAATGCACTCCTATTTAGTTGCTAATCACTTTGTTACGACATTTCTAAATAGAACTAATACCGAAGCTGTTCTTGACTTACAATATTATGTCGCGTGACAGTAACTTCGAAATTATGAATGAATAAAATGTTCTGCCCATTAAAAAATTACAATGATAACACAGAACAGTAATGTAGGTAAGTATCACAGAATAACCTAATGTACAACGAGCGGCCTTATTGCTAAGTAGCAATTTCTTCCACGCATCACACAAAAGTAAGCGTTGCAAAGGGAAAAACTAACATATCGTCTGCTTAAAGGTAAAACCACATTAGTGACATTCCACAAATCCACAACAAATCTCCAAATTATGTACCTGTTGTAAGAAAATCACCATCTTTCTGCAGATAAAACCACTTATTGAGTTTAAACTTTTTTTTATATTGAGTTTCACCTGCAGAAAGATTGTATATATTATAAGTGATTTTCTTGTGGTTTTACCTTTAAACAGACGATATATATATATATATATAGGTTCGTATCAAGTTTCACAACCTACGCCTTATTAAAAATGAACTCTCTCCGTAATTACCGACATGTAAACTCCAATCGACGTTAAAACTACATATTGTACCACCATACCAACTACATATTGTACCACCGTACCAACCATATGAAGTGCCACCAGTGCCATATTGACTAAAATAGTTTTATATTTAATTCTTATAAACTTGGCAGGTCAAAGTAAATACATCAGTCATTAATAGAATAACTTTTTGACGCGGCAGGAGCATTCTCGAATATTCCTGGTTTCCGAATAGTGTAGTAATAAATTTGGGCTTGGTACAGTTCATGGCAGAGCGACGCCACACTGACGTTGCCGATACGTTGCATCGTCGCCACCGCAGTACGCTATGGTCGCAACACTATGATTTCAACGCACCGAGTGCCGCGCGGCGGCCGCCCAGTTACCACGCATTCGTGTCCATTAATGGCGAATCTGAATTCTATTTACTAGGCAACACCATTTAAATTCCTCTGAATAATAAAACCGCGCGGTAGATCACATTCAAGCCAGACTCGCCCGCGTGTCTGTGATGCTCATTTAAGTTATAACGTAAAATTTAGCTATAGATAGAGCGTATTTTGCCATGACAGTTTGACGCACGCGGTCGCTGCGCGGCGTCAACACGTACTCTGCTCGGCGACCGCGCGGCAGCCACGCGTTTTGAGCGCGACAAAATTCGTGTCGAATAAATACTAACCCTAGCCCTAACGCTAGCACCCCTCCCCGCCTCGTCTGTTGACCCCTTGTCAGATAGGCACGCGTTCCGTCGTCGCTCTCCGTTACAATGCACCATTTGGCATGTACTTCTAAAGTTTGTGCAGTATAAGGCCACAAATTCGCAACAGTGGTGCGTTAAGCAGGGCGTTCAACGTTTGCGTGTATATTGTGTTGGATGTATCCAACACAAGGCACACGTTTGCTCGCAATGTACACGAAAAACTTGAACGCCCGACTGGACGCACCACATCGTTCCGAATTTGTGGCCTAGCATCGCAATGTCAACGCTACACATATCTACACTGCGCTCCTGCCTCAATGCCGTGCATTGTTTTCTGATGAATAGAAACCCATAATCAGTCACTTACACAACTGTGTGTATCAGCAGCATCGAAGTTCAATTATTTTGAAATGCTATTCCTAAACTACAACAGCTGCTTTGAGTTTCTGTCTTAATCAAATCAATACTTGGAATTTGATTCCTCAGTACAACATTGTTTGTTTTCGATAGTGCATTGCAGTATTATACATTCTTGCTTATATTATTATTGATTCGTTCATGGTGGACACGTGACATTTGTTAAAATCCACTTTGCTGGATATATAGACGTATATTTAAGGAAATATCAATACGAAATGATAATATTCTCAATCAATCAATTAATCAACCTATTGCAGTCCACTGTTGGACAAGCCTCCCCAAGTGTACGCCATAGTGCCTTACTACCCGCGACCTTCTTCAGATCATCGGTCGGTCGATCGTCGTTGCAGGGGAACGTCCTACGTTACGTTTGCCGAGACGTGGTCTCCACTCGAGAACCCGTCTACTCCATCGCTCATCCGTTCTGTGACAGATGTGGCCAGCCCACTGCCACTTCAGCTTGCTACATTTCTGGACGATGTCCACTACTTCAGTCTTATGCCGGGTAACTTCGTTCCGGACTCTCTCCCTTAACGAGATACCCAGCATAGACCTTTCCATCGCTCGCTGAGCGACGTGTAGTCTGTGAGCCAGTTTCAACGCCACATTCCAAAATATTTTGAACGTATTCATATATAAGTTTGTATCATTAACACAGTAGAACTGCGCCGAATTTAGGTAATTTGAATTACTATTATAGTACCAGCTCGCTATGATGGCCGTTTTGACGTTTGTCCGCTCATGAAGTTTCGTTTTAATTCATAACTACGTTGTAGAAGCTAACTGATGTGCATTGTTGTCAATAGCGACATGCAGTAAAATTTATGAATGTATAATTTTACGGCACAACTCGGCATTTGTTTTTCGAAATTCGACTTTTTAAAAATGAAATCTGATACGATCGTCACTTATAGGCTACTATGGAAACCAAGGGATGTTATATTGACATATATAAATCAGAAGTTATATGTATATGATGCTTTTAGACATTGAAAACAAAAACATTTTATTGTCTTTGTTTAAGTACTGCGTGCCGTCGTAAGCCAAAAGGAATGGCACTACATTGATTTACGTCAAACACGGGAATCGAAAATGCCTAACGTCATCTTAAATGCCAACTGTCCTTATTTTTGGAGTACTCTTTGATACCCGTTTCCGGTTGTGAAAGGGAAGTACATCAAATGTCAAAACCAATATTTTGGCCAAATATTTTAGTGAACAATTCGCATGAATTGTAATGAAATGGACAAAAATATTGACAGTGAGAACAATTAAGTATTGATAAAAATGCGTCGCTGCAGCATTAAGGGGTGCGGCAGTAGAAAAAGCGGAAATCAACCGAATGTTACGTTCCACCGGCATGTGTTATTTTTCTGTCTATAAATCATACAATAGCCCAAATATCTCATGTAATTAGACTCATTTAACTAGTTTATTCATAAGTCTTGCCGAATTTTACTTTGGTTTGTTAGTATATTTTGATGATTTTCGATAATGGTTATTTTAAGATAGTGTTGTTTTTGTAAGCAGACATATTATCGATATTCTGTTATTAAAACAGTTCCCTACGAGGTTTTTATTATTTCATTATTATTATTTTTAAAGTTTACTAAATAATGCAATTCCATCGTTACATTTATTGGTAAATAACTTTGTATTTAATTATGTTTAAAATGGCTCATTACTTGCCTAGTAATAATAGCCTAGTATTAATCATACTTTGATTACAGTAAACAATACAAATTTGCAAACATAAAAAACAGTTTCAACATTCAAGCCATAGATTTGCATATCGGTATTGACTTATCTATGATTATGGTACAACACTAAATCCGCCATATGTGTGGAACAATTTTGGTTCAGGTAGCACGTTTATTCCGTGGCAGCTCCTTTCCTTTGTTCTCCATCCTCTAAGCTTATAGGACCGCTGTCCAGCACAACTGCTACGTACCCCAAACTCGCGTCAAACCTCAATCTAAAACAAAATAGTTTCGAGATGTCGTTTTATTAAAACTTTTAATGAGCTACCCCTTGCCATACTAATCATAAATCTAAAAACTTGAAAATGCTTTCGCATTTGATTATATTTTTTTCGATAATGAATTGAGATTTGACCTCACTATTGTATAACTCTAGCGTGCCGGTACAAATGATTACGTAACGTAATCGTTAGCAAGTCGATTGGAATATGGAATTGTGTAATAAAGTTTATCTCATCCTTTTGCTGGCTCAATGCTAAAGTCACGTTGCTCATATGATAGCAGTGCAAATATTTTATTTTATGGTCAAAAGAAAAATTTCTTAAATCAATTACGTGATTGAGGCGTTTTAAGAAATAGCCATAAAAGGCTATTGAACGTACGAAAAAAAATTAAGTATTTTGATCTAATTATATTGTACTCAATACTGAACTTTCTATAGTAATAGGTGTATAGGATAAATACACGGCGTTTCAACCACCCTCTAACGGAAACAAGCCTCCTGTTGCTCGGCGCTTCTGTTTGTGCTTCTATGTTTTGATTACATGTTTACAAATTAATATAGTTTTCGTATTAAAATAAATAGCGGTAATTAACCATTATTTACTTTAACTGCCCTCGCGCTGGTCTGTCACGCAGAGGTCCTGGGTTCGATTCCAGGGCCAAGAGGAACATTTGTATGGCTTGTATTTATTTCTCTTGTGAGTTTAGGTGTAATTTGTGGTTGATTATGTGTGTGTATCCATGGCACCCGAGATGCAAGGTATTCCTAAAGCGAAGCTATGAGTGTGTGCAATATTTATCTATCACATATTTATTAATAACATTTACTTTTAACTTTTCTATAAAAAACCTTTTATGAAAATTTGATTACTAATGATACAAATATCAAACAAACACAAAGACATATTCCTTCAGTCTTACAGGGTTAGAACCAGTGTCTAACCTAACCTAACAAAGGCTACGGAATATTTTCGCAAAGATACATTGTTATGAGAGTAATACAAACATCACGGTATTCATTACAAATAAATATTTCGTGAAAGATTTGACTTCAGTTACTTTAATTGCTACGAGATTAACTTAACAACGGATAGAATACCAAATAATCAACACTAATTACAATTTTCTAACATTAGTGCGACTTTTAATCCGTCTGTTAGGGCAATAAACTTGTTACCAGCAATAAATTATTTAGTAAATAACCATACCAACCAAACCAAGTGTAAATATTTGGAAACAACAAATGAATTAGTACTCACTTTACTCTTTCTTTTCAGGATCAGAACTATTTTAGCGAGCCTGAAATAGAATCTGATTATCACCACCAGCACGTCCATAAGTCGAAGGTAAGTGCTGCAGTTACGCCGGTTGGTGTAGACTGTGTTGCAGGTAAGTGGAAGTTCCTCGAGAATGATAATATATTTAATGAAACCAGACACGTTATAAACATTCAAACAAAACTGTAGGCCCATTATACGCATTTAATTTTAATACAAAATAATAATAAAAATCATTTTGGTAAAAATAATAAATAAATATTGGACATCATATAATTTGCTCCGATCCCAAAATAAGTAACTAAAACATTTGTGTTATGGAAATCAAGGAGAATACCACAAACACGCAGACCCAAGACAATATAGAAAAGTTAGCTTTTCTTCATTGATCTGGCCGGGGATCCAACCCGGGACCTCAGAGGTGGAGGAGGAGGGTGACACCATGAAAACCCGTGAGCAAACCACTCGACCACAGACGTCGCAAGTAAAATAAAAGTAAAATAAGTAACTGCGATTTATAGTGATTACACACGGCGACTTTGCATGATGCATCGCTTATAAATCACAAGTCTAGCGATACAATCACGCGATGCAGTACCACATTTGCACAATGTAAAGGTAGAAGACGATTAGATACTGCATCGCGTTTGCGTCGCTGCTAAAAGGCGTAGTGTGTAACCGCTTTTAGCATTAAAAAATTATATTCTACGACACATTTTCGAAGAAAATATTAACTACAAACTATAAGAGAATACTTGAAGCATTCAATAGACAATAGGCCCGATTTTTGTAATCAATTTGTTTATAAAATTTTCATGAATGCTGTTATTTATAGTATCGTAAATGTTTACTTAGAAAACACTGCACATGTTTATAATAACTTTACAGCGTACTAGCTGGTGTCCGCGATGCTACGCTACGTCTGCGTAGAATAACAACTACTGTACTACTTATTTGAGAAATGATTGGTTCTTCATACAAACTTTCATTCTCTATTTCACTCTCTTTAAGATTTATTTTCGTGACAAAAAGTGACCTATGTCCTTTTCGTAAGCCCCATCTCTCTTTATACCAAAGTTCATATAATTTGGTTCAGCGGTTTAGGTGTGAAAATATTATAAATGCAAAAATAACTCTGTCTATTACAGAATTATTTTTGCATTTATAATATTACTTTGTATCTGCTAATGGTTAATGTGAGCATTGTAAAAGGTACATCGACATAATGACATAATAGGAACAGAAAAAAGCGCCAAGAAGCAGAGATAAATGAAGCGGCACAAGATAGTCTATTTAAACATAGTTACTAGTTTTTATTGTTCTAAAAATCTGACTGTCATTAAAATCAAAGTGACGCACCAGGATGCCCTGCAATGTCCACGTTTACGTGAATATATAGTAACTTCATTATTTTTGGCCACATTTGTTTATAATACCAAGTGATGGGACGAATAAGTCGTTCGCATGGTGGTAAGCGACACGCCTGTCCATAGCAGTTGCAGTGCCACTCAGAGCTTTAAATCGCAAAGACCTGAGCGGCCTGCCACTACGCCCGTATTCTGAGATATAAGTTGACAAGTCCCAAGTACCTTTATTTTTACCAGCACCCTTACCCTTCAAAATCGTAACGCAATAATGCTCACATTACTGCTTGGTGGCAGAAATAGATAAGGTGGCAGTATTTCCCAGAACGAACTCTATCACTTGGAGTTCTACTGCGTAATTTTCCAAAGTGGTCCCTACTGTGGACGTTGAAGAGTCCTAGGAGGGTGCTACAGCATTTGAAAAAAACATGAATCAGCTATATAAACTACACTACATTATATATAAATAAAACATAATTATATATAATAAAAATTTTCTATTATAAATCCTTTATTTTTATTATATAAAATATATTATATATAATAAAAATAAAGGAAACTTGCGCTTTTTTGTGTTCAGTTAATATAAAAAATATGTGTTTTCAACATTGAGTGGTTTTCAATTATTGTTTGTGGAGATGGGATTTGAATTTTTTTTGTCCTGCCTAAGTGGTCAGTGAGCCAGAAAGTTTGGGAACATATTTATGCTCTACTAATTACATTTGTAGTGGACATTATTGCACGTGCAAATTGTACAGCGCCACTAGCGATCAAGAAAACTAAAATTTTCCATATAAAAAAACTCACTCGCTGGCGACTTTATATACTCCGGTAATTATTATACTATCGGATAAAGGATGTGGTCATGTCGTAACTCATAAGAACTATGTAAAGTACGGTAGTAAAGTAACGTAATTCAGGTTGCATGTAACATTAATAAAAAGTAACAATTATTCTAAATTATATTTTTTTAATGGTAACAAAATCGGTAAAATTACCTTAAAATGTACATTAAATAAAATGGCCATAACCACTTTGAAGAGACACTTAAGATTAAAAATAAATAACTCACAAAATAAATGACAAGTATGACAAAGATGAAAGCAAATGACTTTTTACAATCGATAATAGACAGTGGTGAATCCATATTGATACGACCTAAGGGTTGAACCGCACGTGACAAGTGAGTGCTAACCCTTAATTTAAAATCTAGCAGACCCTAAATTCAGTTAACAAAATAAACAATAAAGAAGTATATTCAATTCATGAAAGTTATTTTAGCGCAGTATGCGATAGATGGCGAAAAGGCAGAAATGATATTTCTTACATACTATTCCTAGGTACTAGTACTATTAAAATTGTTCATGATAACAATTTATCTTCTAAATATGTGGTTTCTTAAATCACAGCGTCGCCTTCCTCGCCGTCCTTATTATATTATATGTAAAATTATAATACGAATAGGCTAATTGACCTTGTTAGACACATTTAGAATGCTTCGTTAATTTATTAAAGCGTGCTATTAGAACGCTCTACAAATTGGTAAACCTTTATAATAGTGTGCACCACTGTAAAGTTTTTTGGGTGTTGATCTCCATGAAAGGACAAGAGCCTTCTTAAAGGGTTCAGGAGCGCAGCCACTACATACTTGCATGACTGCTTTGACTTCAGCTTCTGCTGGTTCGCGTTCATCGCCCTGAAAAATTCCTCATATATATATAAATTATATAAACATATGAACATATACACTTACAAAATCCAAACAACCACCTATATTATTCGTACATATGTATAATTAAGTATTTGAAAAATCTAACCGCTTGTTTTTGTAAGTTTTGAACCGGAACATTTCCAACGACTCCCGCCAAACCACTCAACAGAGACTGTTGGTACATAGTATCGTCTTCGTCATCAGTCAGGTCTGGGCTTAGCAAGGATTCATCTACGACGGATCCATCTGTTAGCATCACGAGACCTCGTTTATCCTTTTTGCCTGAAATAATTACTTACTGTCAAAAATATTCACAAATGTAGGTACACTTTATTCATACATAAATCATTAAGTATACCTGAAGTAGACTCTTGCTTTAACTCCTTCTCAGGATTATCTCTCTTATCCCGCTTCTGAGAATTTCTCTTGAATAAATTGTGTCCAGCTGTATCATCAATATACTGCACATTTGCCGGATTTAATAAGGAGCTAGATAAAACAACTCTATTCTTAGAAGGCCTTGACGAAAAAGACCCAATTGGCGAAGTTGACGGAGATATGGAACCGGAGAGTGAGACTAAGGAAATTGGCGGGATTTGTTCACTTGGGGATTGCTGTACACTGTTCAGGAGCTGCTCAGAAACGACTCTGCTACCCAACTGACCATTGACGTACTCTTGTTGTAGCTGGAGACCGTTTGGAAGTTGTACGGGAATCATCTGTTGTTGGGGGCCAGCCAAATTGAGCACAGGTGCTCGCATTAATTGACCGCCAATGAGAAAATTTCCATTGCCTAATGGTGTGGATTCAGGTGGTGGTGGTTCGGTAACAGCTTCAGTGGCACTCTCAATAGGAGTACCGTCATGCTTAAAGTGATGAGCGTGGTGATGTTTGTGATCTTTATGAGCTTTTCCGGCAGTCAGTGCAACATGGTACAGTTGCAACATTGTTATTTCACCAACCAGACCAGGTTGTTCTGGAACAAAAAGAACATTAAATTATCCACTTTCTTTACTGACAAAGTTTAAGAACATTGCATTTTTTGTACACACGCGATTTTATGTACACTTACTAATTGGGTCCAGAGGATCTTTTTTGTACAGCATAGATTGTTCTTGACCGCTCACGGAAATACCACCACCTTTAATAATATGTCCAACGAGCTGTAAAATTAAACAAGAATAAGAATACTAAATGAGGTGAATAATGTAAATGATGCGTATTCAGTAATCGATCTGCAGGAATATAAACTTTTTATATATACATTTATTATTTTATGCACTGACCCTATTGTGGAAACCTCTTCCGACGCGCTCAGCGTTAACCCATATCTGCCATTCACCAGTCTTACCATTCCATGACTGACAGGAGTGGTACCATCTGCGAAAATTATTGTCATTTTATGAAATTTTCTCCTTCTTAGGCATATAAGATATTTAAAAGTTTTGTTGTTGAAGAATTGCTTTTTGATACAATTTTGGCTATATAGAAAATTATCATATTGTTGCAAGTAATTGTAGTTAATTGTTCAATATGTGCATACATTATAAACAAACCGGATTGACGTAGCCAGGTCGTTTTTTAATCGATGTGTTTGTAGGTCTCAAAGTATTATTGCATAAGCATGTTTAAGTTACATACTCGTACATGAGTTAACGATTGCGAAAGTAGTAAAACACTTTCATGTCGAAATCGGCTATTTTGTCTCCGAAACCGAATATATTTGGCTAATCACGTTCAGTTTCGGAAGTATTAAGCGTGACAAAATTTCTATAGATATAATTATAAAATAAATTTATAATATATCTATAGATATAATCTTCGTTAAACGTGTTATTTGTGCAAGCCATTTAAATAAGTGTTTCTTTTCAAAGTCGGTACTAGTCTAATTGTTAGACTTGAAACTCGTTCCCGTATGGTTTTGCGATTATCAGTTAAGAAAATTGCTTTTTTAGTTTATTTTCAACGTCGATTATACAGTAAAACATAGAGAGGCAAGTAGGGCTTTCAATACTAAATACAAATTCAAAATGTGAGATTTCGTCACTCGTTTTGCGAGCTTCGATCTTCGATACGTGACAGTCTTTCTTGGAAACTTGTGACATTCTCAACCTTGTCGGCTCATTACCAACTAAACTTACATAATACAATTTTTACATTTATTCTGTTAGGAATGCAGATTCCATTGCAAATATTTACGAGGCTGATGTAGTCATCAATGAATATGTACACAACGCTAGCTTTGAACGTTTCGCTTGTATTCACTTACACATTATTCGAGAATGTTACATTTTTCACTGAGCCATCCGCTCGATCTACTATTAAACAAGAATTTAAATCTTTCCAGCTTTGAATTTTGCGCTCCACGTATATGGTTTCTATTTTTCTATAACCTTGATCTGGAATTGCTGAACAATATGTGTAACATTTCTAAGGTAACACTGACAACTACTGTATTGCATCCGCGTCGGACATAGCCACGCGGTGTTAAAATAGCCTGCAAACACACGCGTATTTGTTATTTTTAGATCCAGTTTCAGATCAGATTGCCACGTGTGGACAGGGTGCAACATTAACAACTAATTTAAAAACTCAAAAGTTATTGCACGGTAACAGTTAAATAGTATTACCCGCTAATAACAGGGTAACTTTGCACTTCTTGTAGATCCCTGGGGAATCATATTATTAACATCATTAATATCAACCACGTTACATTCACTTTCTGGTTCAATATATTGTTTTGGATAATGTTTCATTCATGGTTCGAATATGACTGTGACCTTTATTATTGTTTTATATTTCATGTCAGAATATTCGCTAATAACATAGTTAGTTTTTATTTGGTAAGATGATCACGACGTTAATAATAAATACCTAATACTGTTTTACATACTGTTCATGCGTAAACAAATCTTTTAAGCGTAATCTCAAAGTTTGTTCACCCGTAGAAAGTTGCGTTACGTTTCTTGATGATGTGGTAAAAACCACACTCATCATGACTATTCATGACTCATTGTTTCAACTTACGCCTTGTAATAGAGATGTGGTCCATTACGTAAATTTGGACAATTCTTTCACCATTTATAAAATACTACAATAACTGAGAATGTGAATAATCTCAGCAATTCTAACGACACAGGGAAATCGCTCGCTAGCTCCATAATGTAACGGGCTTTTTTGCATGGCTTTGACAGAAATTCGTAGTAAAATAGCTCTATCAAACTCCAAGGAGCAAACAGGATGGTTGTCAAAGTAGTATTTCACCAAATTTCATTGTGACCTTGAGTACTGGTAATTCTAGTTTTTTAAAAGACTTGTGTTAGGAAGTCGACTCTAATCACAAGACTTGACTCATAAAGACTAACTACTGGTAAAAAAACTACTGGTCGACGTATTACGAGCCTATCGAGGAGTTGAGCTAAAGATAAATAAACCTTATGTTGCTTTCCTTTAAGTCTTTAGGTATTGATGATTGATATGATTGATGATTGAGCTGTCTATCAGGCGCAAAATAGGTACATGTGATCGGTTTGTGACTTTAATCACAATTTGTCTACCATGTACGTTTTAGTGTGATTGGGGCGTACATTTACGAGGAATCTTTCAAAATTCAACTCTTATTGTGGTTAGCTATTGGTCAAAGTTTGTATAAGAAACTCCAACCAATTTTAATTCTGCGTAGATGAACTCGTGGGCCATAGTAATTAAAACCTGCTGGTCATACTCGAAATGTCGTTAAGTAGAAGTCACTTCAGGTCGAGTTTTCGAACTCGACTTTTGTTTAAAACTCAAGTTAGATGTATGACTCAAGTTCTTCTCAGACTCGAATTTTTACAACACTAAGGGGTTTTAGGATTTGTCGTTTTTGTCTTAGTTTTTATCACAGATAAAACTAAATGATTATAAGGACATCATGGCTGTCTTAATTTCATATTAAATGTCTGAAGAGAAGTCTTAATTTTTTTTTAAATCTGAATATTTAATGGAAATAAATATTCAGATTGAGTTCTTAGGTTTTCGCGATTGTTACACATAGGAAATGAAACTATTTTTCCGGATTTAAATCGCGTATATTTGTTTTTTCAAACAAACCGACGTTTCGGGGCCTTTACAGGTCCCATGGTCACGGTTGACATTTGACAGTCAACGCCTAAAAAAATTAATCTGTTGCTACGTAGGTACATGAATTCGCTATGATAAAGAATTATTCTTCTCATCTCATGCTTTGTGTTGCGTAATAGTTGATAAAGACAGGTTTCCCTACTCTAAAGTTTTATACTCATTTTTCTCACCGGAAGCTTCCTAACTAAAGAGTGCTTAGTCAATGTGACGATTACAAGTGTAATTTGCTTAGTTACTTTCTTTGATTATAATTTGTATTGCGAGTGGGACGTACTTAAAAGTTTCATTAAATACAATTATGTTAATTTGCCGACTTTAAAAGAACGGCCACTATGTAACAAATAATACAATAAGCGTAGAGAAATGTTTATGCAGCATATGGCTTATAAGCAGATTGTCTGTTAGGTTAAAGAACTTTATGTACATGGTTAACTAGCCCATCTAGTTATAGTTTATCATGCTATGGGATCTTTTCAAAGTAGGTCAAGGTTTTTTTTTGAGTCACGGGGGTCGACAGCCCTACCTAACAGCAGGATGTATATAAATTAGGTATGAAAATACTCACGTGTTGAGTTTAAGCGGATAGTTAAGTCTGAAGAAAGTCTGACCATGTACAGCCATGCTGAAGTAACTCGCCTCGTTTGTATTGGAAACCCACGATGATATCTCTCTGGGGCTTTCACCAACTGCAATTAAAATACAGCTTACTTAATTTAATACGTAAATCACTTGAACTCATATACGGAATTTATTACGGCTTCTAAAAACGCTACATTGAACGTAGTATATAAAATAACGGGGGCAGCAAAGTATGTCATTTACAAACGAACATTTTAATTGCTTTTCGTCTTTGCAACGATTGAACCATTAAACGATTGTTCCTTGAAATCGAGCCCGCAATCATAGAGTAATTTCACTTTAATTTTCTTTACGTCGAGCCTATAATTTCTACCTAACTACCCGGGGTCAAAAAGAGGATTGACACTAAATGTAACTTCGCACTAAAAGTCGCCATATTGTTCTTTTTGCACTATTTCGTACCAATTGGTTACTCGAAGTGTGCTTAGGTAAATGTAATTGCATACCCACTTTTATTCAGAGAAATAAGGTGCAGTCATCGGCACGACAGCTTAAATTCAATTATCATTTTCTAAGGCTGTTTTTGGAATTTCCGATATTAAGTTTTTCATGCTATTTTGCTACTAACGAAAACATTCATTTCATAGGCACGTTTTCACGCAAATATTGATTTTGTACTAAATTTAATCCGTTTGATATCGATATTGCAATTGACATAACAATATCGCCGCAGACACTTAATTTTGGCTGAAAATTCGCCGAATTTATTTCAGGCGTTGTTTGTCTGTTACGTGGCGATACATACCTTGCGACATACAACATAATCAGTGCGTGTATAGTACACGTGTATAATAGAGCAAATTGTACCACGCGATTGTGAATTCACTCTACCGTAACACTATTACAAATAAAGATAATCGTCAATACATTCTTTATAGTAAACTTTAAGAATGAATCCATCTTCTTTTGTGTCGCAGTATCTGCTAAATGAAAACATTTAACAGGTACTACATTGATTGTTTCGGAAACACACATCTGAAAAAACATCAAATTATATAATTTTTGATCTGTCCTTTCTAGCACTTTGCCTTCATTAGAGCTGCCTCTAACCAAGTGCTGGTAACACTAACTCTCTAACAAATGGTTGTGAATTTTTTTTCAAATAAGAAATACATCCATGCATAGGTGAATTTCCATAATACAAGATTCAAACAAGATTTCGTCTGTAAGTCAAATATTGTGTCAAGTGTGGAAGTAACGCTTAGAGAAATGAGGAAAAATAAGATGAATAAAAATAGATTTGTGGTTTTCAATGTAAAAATTTCTTTATCACATGAAATATAAATAATACGTTATGAATTGTAATTTTTGGTATAATATCGCATTTATTACTGAACGCACAAAAAGCTATAAGTATGAAAAAAGTTATTTGATTTTAAATCTCTCGAACAGACTTATTATGATCAACTTATTATAACCACATTTACACAGTAATATGCGATCTGTATCGGTTACGTCCATTACGAAATTTTAATTTAACGTGAGGCTTAATAGGGATTACAATTGTAGCCTGTTTGTCAGTATACAGTACTGTATACCAGTTTTGTCATCCTTGACTTGTCTGAGAGCCGTGATAATATCCTTGTAGAGGCTTATTTTTTCTTGACATACCAAGAGCTGTTTCAAAGACATGGCGATGCTCGTAGCTTCGACATTCTGAACTTTTCCGCAAAAATGTGTGCGCGCAAACAATAATTATTTTCCTCACATTTTTGTGTTTCTTCGTTATAAAATATACATAAGAAATTTTTAGCCATTTAAACAGTATAAATTTACCAGAGAAATGCACAACCTCTCGTTTTGAGAATTTTGATGGGAGTGACGACGGAACGAACCAACGTAAGAATAGTGAAGGAAAAGGTAATTTGAGAACGATTCACAATTTTAAAAGTACCAGGCAGGAACCAGCCAAGGAGGGTGATAAAAAATATATTCCGATGAAAGAGGTCAGCAGCGTTACACAGTGTAATATAGAAGAGGACCATACTTTAATATGCTTTCATTTAAATAATTTATCATAAACTGCGCTTGAGAGGATTAAACGGAAATTTCATTCTGGTAATTGGAAAATATAAAATGGAAAATATAATCTGATAAAATGACATTTATAAATTCTGTTATGTAGATCAGAGCAATTGTAAAAAAACCCTTCAGATTGATAACATAGCAACCTGGAAACTTATAGTGACATTTGATTATTTAAATTTATGAGTAATGGACGATAGTTACTTAATAGATGGAACAAAACTAAAATATAAAAAAACAATTGATGATAATATGAGCCGTATTAAAATATTTGCCTGTATGAGGCTACAAACGTTGCCGATAACTACAAAAAGATTTCAGATATCTAATTTTTTTCCACTTCATAATTCGATATTTAATAATTGACCTACTTTTTTAAAATACTTTGCAATCGAGTCAACTTTAGCTCCCACAATTCTAAAAGAAATAATGGAGTATGAATGACCGATTTAACATTTAGCATGCTTAAAATAAATACTGGTCCTCTCTAAGTGTTGATTAAATCAGTCAACATTGAAAAAATTACTTACTATATTATAACTTACTCTATCACCACAGTAGGCAGTATTACCGGGAACCCAGAATCATGTAATTTACGAACCAGTGAGTCCTGAACCCAGAATCACGAATCGAAAAGTCTGTACTACTTGGACGTCGCAAAAATAATTGACTGTCCTGGTTACTTTGCATCATCTATTCAATCGAATCATTGTTGAGTCTTTCCTAATTCAACTATCAAGCCCAGACATACACTGTAAACGTTATTTATTCTTTGGCATTTTGATGGCAGGTCAATATTCGAAGCGTTGGCAATTGGCAAAAACCGAGTGGCCATGTACAAAGAGTGACCTATAAACTGACTCTAAAGTTTAGGTTTCATGTAAATGTTTTTAATCTTTTCACGAACACTCTAATTTAGACAGTTGCTGTAATATTACGCTACGATTTTTTTATTGAACGCAAGACTAAAGACTAGCCTTGATTTAAATATTGTGACGAAACTTACCCGAATAAGAAAACAAGGGATGATCCTGTGAGTGATTATGAAACTTGGTCCACATACACAGTGTGAATTCCTTCAGATTAGGTAAGTCTTTCTGATATTCGACGTACTGGTTCAAAAGTTCCTGATTCAAAGAAACCTTGTACAAACTACACGTGTCAGAAGGCGGTGCTGCATGGTGCAAACTCAGCTTATTGTTGTATGATGGAAGTGGCCGTCTGTTCAAAATTTTCAACGGCGAGCTGAAACAATAAATTATTATTCTACTAGATGTTATATTTCCTACTTCTATTTTCTACTTTCATATACATTTAGGTATCTATGGAATCTCAAACGTACGGCGCATAATATTTTTGATAAAGAAGTGTATGTCTTAGGTTTTAGTATCGTTTTATAATAATAATAACTCTTATTTATTTTTTTCGTTCACAAAAGCAATTTAATTATGGGATATCAACCAGTTAAAGACTGGTGTCAGTGCAGTATCAGGTTTGAAGTCGGTGTTACATACAAATATACCTTAGATTTTTTTCCATCCTCTAAGATATATACATATATTATTTGAAACATGGCGACAGTGAGCAATGTGTGGGCATTTCGATGAACTGTCAAGATTTCATAATGGTGTATTCCGGACAAGTCCGGATCTTGATGAATAAATGATTATTTACTCATAAAATGTCGAGAAATAAATTTTCCCACTTTATAATATATGATAAATTTGATACATCCTTTGAAAAATACGGTTTCATTCCACAAGAAATATTTAACAAAATGAAAAATAACAGTATCTTAGCAATATCACATTATAGCAAGATCGAAGATCAAAAAGAACTCCAAAGAGTTCTGACTGTTTGAATTTTAGCAGCGCACTAACCTAGATTCCAAGGATCTTTCAGAAGATTTCACGTAGGTCGAATATGACGACGATGCTTCAGGAACTATCGGCTGCCAGTCGTCGTCTCGCGCCATTGTCAGCCCTAAAAGGGCACATAGCAAGAGTGTCCGCATTCTCTAAAATGACAATTTTGAATCATAAGTTCTGAATATAAAAAACCTCAATATATTAAAACTCGTCAGCTTTGCATTCAGACTTGTCGTATGTACGACCTGTTGCAATATTGCAAATTTTTATACATAAAATTTAATTTAATAAATAAAATTTAGTTAAAAGCGGACCACTTTTTAAGTATCTGAAAGTAAGTAACAAGTGAGCTTTTTCAAGAAGGTGTGTTACCCGAATCCACCTAAAAAAGTTTGAACGACATCATTCGAACTTTCACAGTCTTGGTAATCATTACGCCTATCCATTGCAATTTTATTCGGGTATAATTTAAATTAGGAAACATGTTAAATATACTTGTATAACCCTCGCAGCGGAATTGTACAATACACTGATTTACAAAGTGCCTAGCCATATAACCAAAAGCTGTTTTTTGTAATGCGAAAATTGCCACCCAGCAATATAATATCACTAACAAAAAACAAAAGTTGATAATAGAGTCGCCATCGTATAATTTGACACGCCATTTTGACATTGTTTAGTTTCTTAATTTGCTACTTGTAGCAGAAAAAAAATGACATTGCGTTCCGGATTAGCTGTATATGTGTGTCACAACTAACATATACGAGTTATATAACGAAAAATACAACACTTTATAATACGAATCTTCTTTTCTTTGAAGGTTCTTGAAGGTATAAAGCTCTAGCGGTCGGAATTATAGTATTTGCAATAAATTGAAAAAAATTGTTCTTCACCATATTTTATTTACATATCTTCGTAGATTATATGAATATATGTATATAAAATGTGATACGATAGTGACAACTTTTTTAGTATTTACTTAGGCATCTATGACATCAAAATTAGGTATTTGTATATTGAATCCGGTGGTGGAAAAATTAATTGCATCTGCGTGTTAGGCGGATTAAACATACCATCTCCGAATCTAACTCAATAACTTATTCACTTAACTAATACTTCTAACTCTAATATCTCAAAAATCAATAACGCGGTTTAATATTCAACTCACATCACGGCCGAGATTTCCTAGTGAATACAAGAGAAAACACAGGATCAGCGTTGTATCCTACATCGAGAATGTTGATGCGATAGCTTTCGTCACTCGTAAACACGTATTGAGTAACTTAGCTCTGAAGGTCCATTAAGAAAAGTGATTTTACTTTCCAATTCGTGAGAAATATATATTATTCACTACACGTTACAATTTGTAGATACTTCGTATTATCGAAGGTACATATAAATGTTTTTCTTTGTACATTTTTACTTACACCTTGTTAGTCGTAGACTAGTATCAACCCGTACAACTATGTTGTAATACTATGCATGGGTCTGTTCTAACGACAAAATCTTGGCTATAGTACTACGGTTCCTAAAGGAATATTTGACACTTATAATTCCATTGAAGTTAACAGATTTTTTGCATTTGTTATTCAATTACACAAGAATGAGATGGTGGAGCAATTACAACTTACAACTTAGTACCGAAAACGCAATTACATTTTCGAATCACTTGCAATTTACTTTTCATTTCTACGTAATCAAGCCTGCACGTTTAACCTAGTCAGGGTTTACATAACTCTTTGACGATGGCTAAAGTCAACAAAACCTCAAGGAGCCAGAGTGTTCTGTGGTCTGAATAAACCACCTCAGCGCGACTCAAGTATAGCGCGACAAACACTTGGAATATAATTAATTTTAATGGATTACACGTCTTCTAACACAGTATAGTATTTTATTCCGTTTAAAACATTGACTTTGGTTTATAAGGTAATATTTACTTTATTTTATTCTTGCTGGCAACACTGTCTGCTCACCGCTCATACCGTGCCCAATAATAAAAAATATACCTTCGTAAACAACCCTAATGAATGAATGATATGCTAGTGAACTGTTTAACTTAATTTTATAATTCGACAAAAAAGGAAATAAATTAAAGTAACAATTAGAGCCCATGCATTCGGCATATTTTATACAAGCTAATGACGCGCAGATGGCGCGCGTTAACGCGATTCACACTCGATGCAATCGCAGCGAATAAACCTTTGCACACTTTCACAAATTCAGTGGCGCCGAAAACGCAAGTTATCTGTGCGTATACACGCCGCAGATGCGCTGTATTGATAAAAGATAAGAGATGGTTTGTTTGTTAATTTTAACTAGTTTTAAAATATAAAAGCATCCACAATGCGTCTTTTTAGACATATACTATAAAATAGATTTAAGATAAATCATTTCGTAACTGTACTACATGATTACTATTCGGTATTGGGAGTTTATTTTGCATGCATTGCACTAGACACGAAGTGTGAAAAGGATAAGAAATCACAACAAAAACTGTCTTCAACATGAAATTTTATATAAGTACTTATATAAGTACTCAGGGAGTGTTGCCATGTCTATATTAGACGCTTACTTTATTTTTTTCACAAACTTCACTGACGTTTGGTAAAGTAACACTGGTTTTTATATTAACAGTGCCTCTACCACGAATTTAGTTTAGTTTGTGAGAGTTGTCTCTAGCGATCGCGTAAATAACTCCACAATTTTGTATGGTACATTATAGGGCGCCCCTAGCGGTCACAAGAAGAAACAACATTTTGTATACTTTTTTATAATATCAACTGACGGAACGAACTAGTCGTGCGCTTGATGGTAAGATACAAGCCAGTCCATAGCAGTTGCAGTGCCATTGCCACCCAGAGCTTTAAATTGCAAAACACATAAGGTCACTGGCACAGCACCCATCGCCCTGACACATAAGTTGACATGACCCATGTGCCTATAATTTCAGCAGCACCCTTACTCTTCAAAATCGTAATTCAATAATACTGACATTACTGCTTGGCGGTAGAAATAGGTAAGGTGGCAGTACTTCCCTGGACGAGCTCTAAAAGAGCTCGTCCAGGGAAGTATAGAATAGAAAAAAAAAAATAGGAAGTATTGAATAGAGCTCAAGGAGCTCTATTGCTACTGAATACAAACATTTTACGCGGTCGCTAGCGATAACCGTCACTATAATCTCATGGTAGATCGCGGGCAAAGCCGCCGATATATTCTAGTAGAGAGTTTAAGCCTATGGTAAGCACTCGATGAAGTGTATTTTAATAAAAAATCACTACTTGACTTCGCAGCGTTGATCACACTTATAATATCAGTTATTGTCGTTTTTGCTTCCAATTTTTTTCTCCTAGACTGATAGCGATTATACGAGTGCATATTACAAGAACAATGCTTAAAGTTCCAAGAACAATTTCATCGTTATTTTTTTATAATTTATAAATTAACAAAAATCACAAACAGCCGCTGCTTAATTTTACTCTATCACATAAAAGCTTTTAGATAGCTTTTAGGTCATATAATTTGACCGGGTAGTGCTTGTTTTCTACGGCAAACTGAAGGTAACTTTATTAACGTGGTGTACATATGTGGTTCATGAAAGTTTTCAGTCACTGCGAATTCAATTTGCAATGCCGATTAATTATTAACTAGTTCCAAAACATGTTGAAACAGTATTATATATTTTTCAGTAGGTAGTTATTTATAATATTGACAAAAATAATTGCTTGTAAAAATCGCCTAATACAATAAGAACAACTTGAAAGAATCGCCACATTTAGTAGCAGTAGAGCTCCTTGTGAAAGAGTTCCTCCAGGGAAATACTGCCAACCTTACCTATTTCTGCCGGCAAGCAGTGGTGTGAGCATTACTGCGTTCCGGTTTCGAAGGAATAAGCTGCTGGTGAAATTATAAGCACATGGGACTTTTCAACTTATATCTCAGGGTGCAGGGCGCAGTATCAGTGCCCCTCAGATCTTGTGATTTAAAGTTCTGAGTGCACTGCAACTGTTATGGACAGACGTGTCACTTACCATCAAGCGCACGACTTGTTCGTCCTGTCACTTAGTTACTATAAAATAAATAAAAAAGTAGGATAAGAATAACTAAGAATCGCCGAATACATTTTCTTTAATGAAAGCCTGTGCTAAAGGAAATAAGTAACTCTTTTATATTGGTATGGATAGTTTATAAAGACAATGGTATATTATTAAGTAATAGATTTCTTCCGGCTAAGTGATTCTGAGTTACGTAGTACAATTTGACTATGGAGTAAAAAGTGATTATGCAATGTAACATGGCATAGTAACAAAGTAAAATAGAGTGAACTCATTGTTTTTTTTATGTTCTTGATATCGATATGATAAACCTCTCTGTTTATCATACTGATGAAGAATAAGATTTGTTTGAATTGGTGTTCACATTTAGTCAATATTAACACCCTTTAGGCAAATTTGCTTGACTTAAATAATAAAGTACAATCTCACACAAAATACAAAACAATTTAATTTATTATCGAAGGTTTTCTAAAAATCTAGACGGATATGATGAGACATCACGGTAACAGTTTAAGTTTTGTTTTTAAGATAACGAGCTTTGGCTTTTATTGCTTATTATTAAAACGTTGTATTACTAGAGAATACGAACCTAAGTACGCAAGGAAATGTGAATAATATTAACGCAATTTAAAATTACTGCCTCTGTGACAGTCACTCAGAAAACTTTTTACCACAAAATGTTTGGGATACGGATAATGCTGCCTAAAATATGTTGTTTTGTTTCTTTGTTGTACCTATATATGTGTCTGTATTCGAGCGAGTAGTATTGTATTCACAATTTTTAGTGTTGAATTGCAAATATTGTCTAAGCGTAGACACATTTAAGGTTCATTTACGGTTATAAGCTAATTTTAAATATGAGTTTTTCTGCATATATATAATTTTTGTCCCTTAATAAAAAAAATTAAAATATAGAAAAAAATTTTCGACTAAAAAATAACAAGAATATTTCGGACTTTTGTAATCAAAATGAATTGAATCAGTTTATCATTCTGTCGTGGATTTCAGCATAATTTATAAATAAAAGAAAAATAAGGCTTTTTAACACTTAAATTAGAGGACAAAACTTATTTTAGTTAGCGTTCAATAAAACCCAA